GTAGTAGTAGTAGCAGTTGCCAGGAGCTGACAGATTACAATATTGGAGCAACAGAAAACATTCTAGCGGCAACTACAAGAGGTAACCTTTAATAGACAGATACAGTTTCAACGAGACATGAAACTGATGCATAAGGAGTTTCAAAACAATTCTGGAAATAACTGAAAAGAAGATAGAGGAAAATTTACAAAATGCTTCTTTCCCCGAGAATACAATATGGAATTACATTGAAATATTCACGTACAGTCCAGACGAAGAAATAACTTTTGAAGAGTATTATAAAAAAATATACGGACGTGTATAACGAGGACTGCCACACGTGGTCTGAAGGAAAGAAGGGTAAACTTCCTTTAAGCAAGTTAGGAACTACTGAGCATAAAAAATTAATAAACTACATTTTACCAAAAAAAAAAAAAAAAAAAAAAAATAGCGAATTAACTTTTACCGAAGCGGTAAATATATTAAGTGAATTATTTAGTAAAAAGACATCTTTGTTTCACAAGAGGATGGAAATGTTTGAATCTGATGAAAGAGGATGAACAAGACTTTATAACGTATGCAGCTAATGTGAACAATCATTGTGAAGAATTCAAGCTAGCAGAATTAAGCGCTGACAACTTTAAGTGCTTAATATTTGTTCAAGGTCTGGTATCAGAAAGAGACGCTGAATTGAGGAAAGTGGTACTTTCAAAATTGGAAAACCAACAAAGTATCACGATACAGAGTTTGGCAGAAGTCTGCACAAGATATGCTAGCGTAAAGAAAGACTCGAAAAAAGATAGAACAGTCTGGCGTTTCGCATGTAAGAAAAATACGCTACAAAAAAGCAAGTCAGTCTACCGAAAAGTATTCTAAAATTGCGGACTATCAAACAAAAAGTGAAATACCACAGTAAAATAAACAAAAACTCCCGAAGCCATGTTTGGCTTGCGGTGGACTTCACTGGTACAGATATTGTAATATTAGGAATAAAAAGTGTTTCAACTGTGAAATTGTGGGGCATAAAAGCTCGCACTGCAGGTCAAAAAATAGAGACAATAAAATAAGAAAAAGGAACTCGACACTGGTTCCGACCTATCTATCATAAATTTGAATACGTGGAAGAATTTGAGAAACCAACTTTAATGAAAACAGATAAAATTGCTAGGTCAGTGACGGGAGAAAAAATACAGTTTATTGGAGAATTTGTTACAAACGTCACGTTAAATACAAAAACGTGAAAAGCTAAACTATTTGTCATAGAAAATACCACGAACTTACTTGATACGTATTGCATAACAGAATTTCAATTATGGGATTTACCGATAAATTCTTTCTGTTACAAGGTTGAAAATTTAAACTCAGAGGCCCTAAAATTAGTACAAAAACTCAAGGGAACTTTACTGTTTTTTCTCCGGGTTTGGGAACGTGTACCAAGATGGAGGTAAAATTCCAACTAAAAAAAACGCTCAGGCGGTATTCAAAAAGAAAGGGAATGTGCCGTTTGCTTCAATTGAACAGATAGATAAAGAATTGGACAGATTAGAGAAAAACGGCGTATTTAAAAAAGTTGAATGGGTAACACCGAAAATATACGTGAAAAACAAGCTTCAGAAAGTAAAAATGAAGCCGACACCGAAAAAAACTGAGGAGCGAGTTACACGCAAACAATCCCACGGTATTTGCATCACGTAAGTCAGAAGAAGAGCTGAAATTTACTGTGTGTAATGCAGTTCGGAAACTTCCGGTAACTGTAAAAAAAATAAAAGAAGAAGCCACCAGGGACAAGTATATATTGAAAATAAAAGGAAAAAAAGCCGAGAGGGACTAGTGCACAATAAATGTTTTTTTTTTCACTTTGCGATACAGTATTGTTGTACAGAGAACGTGTGGTGATTCCATACACACTGCAGAAGCAATTACTAAAGGATTTTCATACTGGTCACCCGGGCAGCGTTAGGATGAAGAGCCTAATGCGAAGTTTTGTATATTGGCCGAATATGGACAGGGACATTGAGAACGCAGTGGCAAAATGTAAAGGTTGTGCTTTAGCTGCCAAGGTAGCCCCAATAAAAGTTAACCCATGGCCAAAAACAGATTTACCATGGTCTAAGTTACATGTGGATTTTGCAGGTCCACTGAATGGATACCATTACATCATAGTAGTGGATAGTTTCTCGAAATGGCCTGAGATACAAAGGATAAGAAAACCGACGACGCAAAGTACTAAAAACTTCCTGCTGGAATTGTTCGCAAGGTTTGGTGTAGTAGACGGACAACGGAAGTCAGTTTATGTCGAAACAATTTAAAGATTTCTGCAAGGAATACAATGTCGAGCATGTTACCACAGCTTCATATCGCCCAAGATCAAACGGGTTAGCTGAAAAATTTGTGCTAGAGAAATACCTGCAGATGAAGCCCTTCAGAAGTTTCTACAGATATACAGGATTACCCGAAATAACGGAACACCAGAATCACAGTCGCCAGCCGAGGTGATGTTCGCACGTCGAGTAAGATCTGTCTTCGACAAATTATTACCAAAAAAGACAAAGTCATTAGAGAAAAATTTATTCAAGTAAAAAAATACAATCATTGTGAAAAAATATATTTTAAGGTCTATAAGCAGAATAAATCATTCTGGGAGATTGGAAAAAAAGAAAAGCGGATTGGCAATATGATGTACTTGGCGAAAGCCGAAAAATTCACGTGGAGAAGGCACATTAAGCAGATCAGACGACCTGCTTCAGATGTGGTTGACAGTGGTCCCACGGAAGAAACGCTGATGGAGGTGATTTTCAATACGTTTGATCAAACAACGCCTGCAACGATTTTACCTGAGGTACGCCGATCCAGGAGAAAAAGAAAGGCAACTGATCATTTAAAAGTGGACCCAAAACGTACGAGATACGCTACGATGTTGCTAAAAAAAATAATAAATAAAAACTTTTTACTCCTACGGAGT